GCATATTTCAGTGATATATGTGTTGGTGCAATTGCATGCCGGCTTGAGAAGAAGGAAGGTGGGGCTGTCCGTGTGTACATCATGACACTGGGAGTTTTAGCACCATATCGTGGGCTGGGCATTGGTAAGCAAGCAACGTTTCTTCTTCTTGTAACTTTGGTATGGCAGTAGGGCTCTGTTTGAGAAACAAAAAATTCATGTTTATTGTTTATGACTTTGGTCGAAATGCATGAACCATCCTTTGTTTAACTTTGCCTTCTGGATACAACTTGTTATGCAGTAGAGTGGCCTTTGAAATTTCAAATTGATTTAAGATTAGGTTGTCAATAAAAATCCCTCACAGTTTTTGGTGGTACGGTAAAAATTTGGTTAATCTGGACGCTTACAAGTATGTGCAGGTTTTCTGATCTAATTTCTGGTATTTGTGCAGGTAAAAAGCTGTTGAACCATTCTCTTGATCTGAGCTCCAAGCAAAATATTTCTGAAATTTACTTGCATGTTCAGACAAACAATGAGGACGCCATAAACTTCTATAAGAAATTTGGGTTTGAAATCACAGAAACCATCCAGAATTACTACACAAACATCACCCCTCCAGACTGCTATGTCCTTACCAAGTATATTACTCAGACAAAGAAATAATATGTCAAAGCTATCAATGGGGAGTTGTTACATTAAATTTTGATCTCTGTTATTTCGCTGGATTTTGTCTAGTTTTTAGAATTATAAACTTTGCTAACATTTGTTGGAAGGCTGAATCATGTAACAGTTAATCTGCTATATTTTTAGAGAAATGAATGTCTTTTAATGATTGGATTAGCTTATGAGCACTTGAAAGTTTTGTAATTTATTTGGACCAGGTATGTGATTTCAGCATTTTATTAAGGTAATGTGCCACTATCTGTGTGACATGGCCCTAACATCAGTAGCCTTGTATCTTGACCTAAGCCACCATGAGTGGGAGAGAGAGATTGGCAAGACCTCCCACAATGCCGAAGGGCCAAAAGTTGTTTCGCTTTTACAATCCAACTTATCTGTAAATGTTGAGTGGGGGGAAAAAATTGGATATCTGGAAAACCCCTTCTGGTTCTTCTGAGGAAGTTGCTTGGATTCGCAATTCTGCAATGACCGGGGAATTGAAAGTCCGAAGTGAATCCTCTTCAGACGTAGCACATAAATTGCTGAACTGAGAACTCTTGAGCAACAAGGATTAATGCCCATATCTCTCTTTGATTATTCTTTTGTTTTACGAGGAAAAATATATGCTGCCTACTAACATGACATATAGAACTGAATATACAATATATGATTTACAAAGTTCAACTAGAAATACTATAATTACAACATATTACAACAGCTTTGCTTATTCTTCCATATGTACAAATTCTAAGGTCGGAAGTAGGTGAGCAAATGTCATGCATAAACAGCCTCCCTCCTTTAGAATGACCATTGTCCGAATAGCTGCATCGAATGTTCAATAAGCCAAGCCGCCAGCAAAAGCATCTCCATCATGAAGTAAACTCTCCGTCAGCCAATAACCATCCCATGAACCTCCAACCCTCTGCCAACAACAAGCTTCAAATCAGAACTGGTATGACATAATTATAGTTCCCATAGTGTACCTATCCTGCATAGACATGTTCACCATTCTCCTATTCCCTTGAGATAATTATCATAAACAATACATATTCACCAACCTGAACCATTGTGAACTGAAATATTTCTTCTTCCTCTGGACGACTTCCTCGTATCCAAACCCGCTGCTTGAATCGGTTCTAGTTCACAGTTCATTAAACAATGACAGTTGATTAGAAACACAAATTTACTGTTAACATCAGAAAACTTAAGACTAGTATGACAGATAGCTAAAAGTTACACCACATATAAGAGCTCAAATTATTATGCAGGCATCACACTGAACAGCAACTCATACCTCCTCTACGAACAAACTGCTCAACATCTTCCTCTCCTTGTGGCCTAGCAACACTCTATAGGTCGAATGGTGAAAAATCCGCCGAAATCGTTCAAACTGCACTCACAGTGAAGCAGACAACCGAGATCAAAAGTATTAGCTATAATATATCATATCAGGATTGGTGTACAACTACAAGTCTACAACTATTGAAAATTCAAAAACGCACCAACCTGCCCCAAATCAAAGAATGGCCCAAAATAGGTGGATCTCTCAAAAGGATCAAACCCAGCAAACTATCAACAAGGGAAAAAAAAAATTGTCAGTTCAAAGACCACCCTGTTGTTCAGTGTGATATGAAACATAAAGCCAACCCAGAAGAAGAAATGAAGGAACTTTACCCTGTACATGACTTCGATGCCATAATCTTGACGGGGTTGGTCGTTGTACTTCAAGGCATCAAGCTGATGCTGAACAGCTTCTTCTGCGCTAAACTAGAGCACAGGTCACATTATCACATAGATTGACAACATGCTATATTAAAAAGAAAGAGAAAAATCAATCAGTGAAATGGTGGCGGTGCTCATTTTTGCATGATCAGATGCTTACATTTAATCTGGGGCCAGAGGGTTTCTTCTTGCGAGATTCTAACCTGCAATTCAAAGATAATGAACTCCAACTTATATCAAAGCAGAGCTTGAAATCAAAATTAACATCAACATCAACTTTGAATTTAAACATTAAATAATTCAGAGAGAGAGAGAGAGAGAGAGAACCAATCAGCTGAGAGGAAGTCGGGAACGTCAGCAGAAGCTCTGAATCGAGAGCTGAGGGAGACGGTTGGAGGTTTGATATCAACAGAGAAAGGTTTGGTTTTGGAGAGAAACAGAGAGTTGGGATATGACAGGGACGAGCAAAACGACATAGTCTTAAGCCTGGAAAGAAATCTCCTTCTTCTCTCTCTAAAGTCTAATCCGTACGGTATAACTGTATAAAACGGGAATGGGTGGAAATTGGAATGGAAAGGCGGGGAGGGTGGGCTTAAGGATGAGGCTGATTCGATATTCACCGTTCGATCTAGTGACAATATAGCTCTTGGAACCAATGATTTTTTTTTCTCTTTCTCAAACTCAACTGCATAAAATCCGCGACCTTGATAATTATTTCATTTTAGTACCCGAATTTTGAAGCTCTTAAAAACTTTTTTTTTTGTTGAGAAATTATGGGATTGCATTCATAAAAGTCACTAGCATAGCTTATACAAACTAGCCACAAAATGACCATTACAATAACGAAGCTATCTAACATAAATTATGGCATAAGCAGCCTAACTAAGACTGCAAATTCAGAACAATTAAAAAGAAATAAAACTTAAAAAAACCAAATTATAACAATACAAATAAAACCTTCACGGCAGAGAGGTGGAAAACTCCTACAAAAAGATAGGTGAAAACTACACAGAAAATCAAAGAGTCTTTGCGATTTATTCCAAACATAAAAAAAACCACAAAAAGGATAGTGGTGAAGATCCGACGCCGAAATGTAGGTGGAGATATGAGGACGAGACACAGACAATTGTGATGGGGTGGAGGAAAATCATAATAAAGCGAAGACAAAAAAGGTAAACCTTATGTCATTGAAAATGGAGGAAGATGGGAGAATGGAGAAGGAGAGAGTGGGAGATGGGAGGAAGAGAGGAGGGGAGCTTAAAAATTCGTATTCAAACTTACAAAAACATTTTCTCAATCTTTTTCATTAGTAAGATCGTTAAGAATTCTGTTAAATGCTAACATGAATTTAGGTTTCATCAATAAGCATTTGTCACTCTTGATGCATAAGAGCATCCACAATCATGCTTCTTATTTTTCAGTCAAAATTTAGCTACAAACATACAAAAAATATTTTAGGAGCTCTCTATAAAATTTGAACTTCAATCATATTCCCTAGTTTAGAGAGTCATAAATACTATAATTATTTTTTTAATTTAATATAATTGGTCCATCTCAATAATAAATAAATAAAATTAAAAAATAGTTAACATTCATTAAAAGTTTTAAAATATGCACAAAACAAAGGAGTATTAAATTATAGGGAGTCATTAGAAGTTCTCTCTTTCCTCTATATATCTATATATATAAGAGTATTAAAAAATAATTAGTATTAATTAAAAGTTTAAAGTATGCATAAAATAAAACATCATTAAATTATAGAGAGCCTATGAGTATTTTCTCTATCTTCAGATTTATTAAGAGCTCCTAAAAATCTCCCTCTTTTAGAGTTGTATTTTTTCAATTTCTCCCTAAAATTTATCTAAGAAGGTGGTCTAAAATATTGGAGAAGAAATATATGAATCGTCATTCCTCATCAATCTAAATAAAATTTATAAAAATTTTATATAAAAAAACTCTCATATAAAGTTTCCAATAATTTAGGAAGAAAAAAAAAACAAAATCAATTACGCGGGGGCCACGTGTGGGTCCCGCCGAGGTTTGTGATTAGCGTGTACCGGTCCTCGCCACCCGCGAAGTCGTTACACAGCCGCTTCCCCTAGAGCAAATGAGGCGTGCTCCTCCTCCTCCTTCCCTCCAATTCCTCGCCGCAGCAGCCACCGACGCAACCACCGCCATGTCTTCGCGCGCTCCTGTATTTTCTCTCTCTTCTCCAATTTAAAAATTGGCTCTGAAACTTTCAGCTAATTGGTGCTTTATCTTTTACAGTACCGAGGTGGTCGAAACCAATGGCCGACAGCCTCTTCCTCGAACCGCCCCTATTCGGGCGGCAGAGGCCCGTACGTCACCGGAGATTCACATATCCGGTCGGTCCGCGACGCCAATCTAGGGTTCCGGCAAGGCGACGCCGGCACCGGCCCCTTCCCCAACCAAACCGACTTTCGTCAGCATCCGCCGCCGCCTCTTCAGCACAACCATCACTTCCGTCAATCTCGGCCGTTCGATCCAAACCAACCGTACCGGCCGAACCAGCAATTCCGCCATCCTCAGCAGTTTCAGCCTCCGCAGCAATTCCGGCCTCGGCCGAAGCCCTTGGATTATCGCAACTGGGAGTTTGCGAAAACGACGCCGTCCCCTACTTGTGGTAATCGACCGTTACTATTTGTAAATGTATCAGAGTTGTTTTGGTATGGCTTTCTTTGAATCTATCGTTTGGGGCTGACAGATAGGTTTACGGTGCTATCTTATAACATACTGGCTGATTCCTTGGCCCATGAGCACCGGAGCAAGCTTTACTTTCACATACCTTATCATATGATGGACTGGCAATGGAGAAAGAATAATTTGATTTTTGAGCTTGGACTGTGGTCAGCTGACATAATGTGCTTTCAGGTGCATCTTAGCTGCTTCATTTTATGCGCAATCTTCCACAAACCACTAATTTCGTATAAGTGTAGTCTTCTTATACCACCCAATATGGTGAAGCTTGGGGCAGTTGTGTTTGAAGTATCTTGATTTTATGTTTTGCTTTGTCATGGGCCTGGCTGAAATTTTTATGGTCTGGTTTCAATTGCAGGAGGTTGATAAATTTCAGGACATCGAGGAGGAGTTGAAGCTTAAGGGGTACAATGGCATTTGGAAGGTGTGCTTAGAAATGCTTATGTTGCTGTTTTGCTAAATCAAGAACATTCACATCATATGTTAATGCTTCCCTCTCTACATGTTTTGGTTTTAAACAAAGGCTTTGGATGTGTATCAGACACCATTTTGAGCATCTGTATTTTTAATGTAGTTGACTGGAGGGGTTAGAAGCAAAGATTAAAGAACATGAACTGTGTAGCAGAAACGAGGGTTTTGAGGAAATTGGTAAACGGATAGCATCCATCTTGGGGGTTATTTTGTTTGAGAAATATCATTGTTAACTATTATTACTTCAAAAATGACACATAAACTATCCGTCTAACTGAATAATGATGGATGTTGTGAAGAGAAGGATGCCATTTTTGGTGTTCTTATTGCATGTAGATACCTTTTCTATAGTAGGAAAGGTCAGGAAAATAGATTAACTTGGCTAACTTTCAGCAACTCAATAAGTGCTCTGTGTAGTAAAGTCACTTGATTAACGAGTTATTTATGGTTCAGCCCAAAGGAAAAAAAAAGAAGATATTCATGGATGATGGAAATTTACCAATTCTTCGTTTGTGCAGATGCGGACTGGCAATCCAGTTGATGGCTGTGCAATTTTTTGGCGATCCTCAAGGTAGAGTATGTATCTAGTTTTTGGATATCCTTGAGTTGTGAACAGTTATGCATCCATTTTTCCATGCTGCTTATGAGCCAAGGGAGTGGCTTATTTACTTCCCTGGCTGTGAATATCATCAGGGTATGTGAATATGTGCCTGAACTAGCTAAAGATAAAAAAGTACTTTGTCCTTCCGCTTCAGTGATAGTGCATAAGAGTTTTCATACTCATTTACCCTGTTTAATTGTCATTTCCTTGTGTCCTAAATACATTGGTACGTGAACCTGCCTACTTTCATGATAACTGAATATATGCTCACATTTCTACATTCATCTTATGGGGTCTCCTAATTGGGAGCTGGGTTATAAGGGCAATCTAGTTGAAGTATGGGGATCTTTAATGGAAATAGGAAGTGTAGACTGATGAATTACAAAAGCTTGCCCTCAAAACATAACTGAAGGTCATTCAATACAAGTAATTAATTATAGTGATGGCATATCTTAACAGACATTTTGATGAATAAAAAGTCCCTTGGTTGGGCTGAACTAAGGACTCTTGCCATAGACCTAGTATAACCCAATTTACTAATTTCCTGTATTATGTCTGATCTTTCATTTCCTATCTTGTCCTAGTCATCTTTTATTGCACCGCTGTAACTATTCTGTTTTGCATTCCCTTATTATTACTTTGTTATAATATATTCATCTTTACAGACTTAACATGCTAGTACCATATGCTAATGTTGAACAAAACTGATTTGGTACTGTAGTCTACACCTTACCTTGGTTGCCTTTATAGATTCAAGTTGATTCATGAGGAATGCATTGAGTTCAGTAAGCTTGGACTTCGGGATAATGTTGCTCAGATATGTGTGCTGGAGGTATTTTAATTATTTATATCTTGAACCTTCCATGTGATCAATCACCAGCACTAGTTCTGATTATTCAAAATTGGTTTGTCCATTTCATTTCCTTTTTATTTTGTTGATATGGTTTCATGTAAATACTGTTAGTTTTTTTTTTGTTAAACAGTCAATATGCCAGACCAAAAATCTTGCAGTTATACCAACAAGGTAATTTAAGAATCTTTAGATAATTTACCTTCATTTGTGTAATACATACGCACGCAGACATGCTTTAGTTTTGGGATTGCCTCAACCTTTGGTACATTTAGTCACCTAGATATGAAGTGACTTTGACTAGAATATTTGGAAAACAATTAATTTTAAAAGTAGGAAACTCTCTCTGATGCTGGGATACAGATGAGTTTAATAGTAGAAGAAAACTGTGTTTCCTTTTTGACAGATTTTGTGTAACTGAGTTTTGTTTGCATCTGCAGCTCAACAGGTTCTAATAAAGTTGTCATTTGTAACATTCACGTGCTTTACAATCCTAAACGGGGAGAAATTAAGCTTGGCCAGGTAATTACTCTCTTTTGAGTAGGCCATACAAATTCGTGTATCTGGTCAGTTGCTGCAGCTCTCTTCTGTCTATATATATATATATATATATATATATATATATATATATATCCTTCTTTGGCATTCTTGTAATGGCGTTCAAATAAGATATAAATGTGGTGTGAAATCCATCTCAAAGTTTAACTTCAGCAATGCTAAAGATTTCATTCAGCTTTGAATTTGAAATCATGCTTTCCTGTATGTTTCCTTCAAACAGGTCAGGGTGCTCTTGGATAGGGCTCATGCCATTTCCAAAATCTGGAATGATGCTCCAATTGTTCTTTGTGGGGATTTCAATTGCACGCCAAAGGTTTACTTATAACACTCTTGAAGTCTATATCTGGAATGTGACTTGCAATGGATACTTGTGGCACTGCTGGAGCTAGTTCTGTTTTTTATTTTATTTTGATGGTAACACTTTTTTCATTCTTTTTGTCAGAGTCCGTTATACAACTTTATTTCAGAACAGAAGGTAAGCTCCTTTCTTCTCCATTTTTAACCTCCATCAGTTTGTAAGTTACAAGTATAGTTACATCATACTTTTGCAGTTAGATTTGTCTGGAGTTGACAGAGATAAAGTATCTGGACAAGCTTCAGCCCAAATTTATGCAGCAAGGTCATATAATCGTAATTATGGGTAGGGTTTGTTGGAGTCAACTACTGAATGCTGATATAACGACTGCAATTCTATTTGTGAATACCTCTTCTATTTTGAAGTGAAAACTTTTTAAAAAAATATTGCAGGGCTCAACCTGGTAATCATTTTGTTCAAGGTCCATCAGTGGTAGATGGGAGGGAAGGTGGAATGAAGCCGAGTGATTCACCATTGGATATTCAGAACCTAAACAATCCACAAAGTAGTGTGGAGAGTGTTCCATTAACAAACAATTTGTCTCAGCCTCAACCTACTAAGACCCTCAATTGGTTTGATAAATCTTGCACCAATGTTGATTCTCAAAAAGAGGATGGTACCCAAGATGTTGAAGTTAACAAAGAATCTAAGCAGAATGCTGTAGATGTCTCTACGGTTGAATCAGCTTTCCATGTTCCAGGTGATGGCTTAAAGGATGATGCAAGTACTTCTTACAGTGAAGGCGGCTTTCCTGTATCTAAGTTGACTGATCCTGAACACGCTTTCTCTAACGTGACTCAGATTGGATACAAAGAAAAAGTGGATTTCACCTCTACTTCAAATCATGGATTACCAAGTGAACATTTGGACTCAAATATTTGTGTAGAAAAAGAAAGCATGAACTGTGATATCCATAACAATCCCTCTACAAGGGACAATAATTATATTAGGGAAGGGATTGGTCCAGATTATGTGGATCCTCTCCAGTCAGAAATTCCTTTATCTAAGCTATCCGGCCAGACTTCCATTGCTGATGCTATCGACGTCTCTTCATTAGGGAACTTAGGAAATTTGTCTTCTAAACCAATTTCTTGTGCTGAGAACAATAGCTGTTCAGTCCCAGAGCAAGTCGACATATCATGTGCACCTACTAGTGTTGACCTTGAGTTGCAGAAAAATCTAGAAAATTTATCTCTTACTGAGTTAGATGAAGCCATTCCAGAAGGCGGAAATACAGCTGAAGATGATAATACATTTATATCTGCACTACACAACACACAAGATGCCTTTCCATCTGATTTTTCTGTTTCTCCCAACTCAGCGTTGTCTGCATCAACCAATGCAGTTGAGGATGGTTTATCTCCAGGATTGGATTCAGAGACTGCTTATGTGGAGAGAACTCCTTATGATCCCTCTCTATGGACTCCAATGGAAATAGAAGCTGCTACAGGCAATTCAGAATCCACTGTTTTAGAACATCCTCTAAAGCTTAGGAGCACATACACTGAAGTTGAGGTAGTCGTATCGTCTAAAGATCCTTTGCTATCGAACTCTATCTAGAATGTTGCAATTTGATCTGCAATCTGCATAGCAATCACAAATGGTTTAGAAAATTTACCACTGCTAGATATTATACTTAGTCAGGATCTGAAATTTTTACTCGGACACTTATTTCTTTTATCTTTGCAGGATTGTGCTGGGGCCAGAGACTCGAATGGAGAGCCCCTGGTTACCAGTTATAACAGATGTTTCTTGGGCACAGTTGATTACATCTGGTAAATTTTCTATGATTCTGATACTCCTTAACCACTCCTGTCAGTCTATTAATACTTTATTAGATTTTGAGAGTTGATAAATCACTGAGTAATACTTTTTTAATAAATAAAAAGAGTTTATGCATCACTCTTTCAAATATATATTTTTTCTTCTTATTCTGAGCATGTATAATAGGGTTGAGACCTTTTATTTCTATTAATTATTATTTTTAAATATCAGGCGCTCCGAAGGTCTGCAGACTGTAAGGGTACTTGCTCCTATTCCAAAGCATGCTATGCAATGGACTTCAGGGTTCCCAACCAAGGTATGGGTTTTCTACCGAGCTGATGTGATGCCTTAGAAGGCAAAATTAATGAGGGAGTTCGGTGAACATTAAACAAAGAATGATATCTCTCTACTATTTTAGTGAAAGCAAAGGCAGGATTTACAATATGATTATAAGAATTGACATCTCATTGGATCAATTTATAACATATAACATTTGTTAATCCCGTCGGTGAAACAAATGAACTTGAGCTTTGACACATCCCTGAATGCATATTTTTCGGACTGTTTTTCAGAAATGGGGTAGTGATCATATTGCCTTGGCTTCTGAGTTGGCGTTTGTGAACAGTTTTGACCAATCATAACAGCAACACAGAAGTCCGCACCAGTAGTCATTATTGACATTTGAGGATTGCATTCGGAGAAGTTGCGGGATTGACTGTCATCTCCGTCAAATTTTTTCAGCGTCTAGTTTCACCCCTTCCCACATGTTTTATGTTGTGGGAAAAACTCAGTCACGGGTTCTTTCCAAAAATTTGAGGTTAGTTGAGTTTTTCGGCGGCAAATTCCCAATGTATATAATTTGATCTTCATGTATTGTCTGTTTTTTATTTTTCTATTTTAAACTTCAGAGAAATTCACTAACGAATTTATAAAGAAGTTCTAGTCTATTTTTTTGCTACAGCCGTTGATTGTTATGAAATTCACAATGGAACAATGAAAGGTTCATAGTTACCCAGACGACTGTGACGACCATATTTTAGCACAAACGGCATCGTATTTAGCACAACCCAACGACAAAAACATACCTAGTAATAAAAGTGCTATTATTTTCTTGCCGAAAGAAAGATTGGCCATTTGATACAAAGGAAATAATATTTTGTATTTTATCATGCACTTGACGCTTCATTAACTAATCAAAATGGCACAAATTGTTTCTTCAGAAATTGAATCAACTTCACTTGTGAGCTCTACGAGCGTGTTCTACATAAAAAAGAAACAATAATAATTCGTGACCACAGATTTATTTTCTGACTCCAACGAAAGAAAACGTGTATAAATGGATGACATTACTAAATTTATTTTTGTTATTCAAAAAGCTCCGTTGAATTACAAATATTAACTGGAAAATATCAAACTCACGCCAAAAGAAGAAGAACCAATGACGACAATCAAACCAATAAGGAAACAGACACGACCCTCTTTCGAAAGAGAGACAGACAGACAGACAGATCAAGAACATAAATGACAATTACAACAATCCTTTAAGCCACATAATCTTCCACTTCGGAGGTTTCTCAAGGTCTCAAGCTTCTTCTACCCAGTTCATGCAAGTATCCGAGATGGAAACCATATAATAGCAAGCCTTTGGGCACTTGAGACAAGCACTGCAGCAGCCATTATTGTCTTCATCAGGAAAGGGTTGTGCAGCAGGCCCACGCCTGATCAGTGAACACCACCATCCATAAAAAGTTTGTACTAACAAACATAATCATATAATTAATTAACATGCAGTTTGTTTTTTGTTTTTTTGGTACTTAATTATTAATTATTTTTTAAGATATCGCACTTACTGTGCTGCAGTCATGTCCATCTGAATATGTACTGGAGGAGTAACAGCAGGTGGCTGCGGCTTAACAGAAAGCAGCTCATCATTTCTGCATGCGTGAGAAAGTTAACAAAACGGACAAACGATGATATATCTAGATGATATATCTAAATGCTATATCAAGAAAATGTCCAAAAAGAAAAGGAGCTATAGCTAGCCAGATGTGGAAATTACTCTGTAAGCTTGTTGGCCAGGTCCGAGAATGGTGCCTCAAGGTTGTGATCGTTGTTGGCAGAAATTTCAAAGTGTGGCAGAGTAATATTCTTGTCTCCCATCATCATCACATGATCCACATCTGCCTTGTTGCTACACCAAACAATCGGAATGTTCCCGTACTTCCTAGTAGACAGCAAATTAATAGAACAAGTAGAAAAGCTACTATCAGAAAGAAGAGTTAAATCAGTACGCAACATTAATTAGATAGGAATAGGATAAATAAGACGTACCTAGAGAGAAGATCGTAGCATGCTTGGAGAAAGTCTGGTTTCAAATTAGCAGGCCCATCAAACAGGATAACGCCACCGTGTCGGAAAACACTGATGATAACCAAGGAAAAATATATGAGAACCAGACTTTTTCCTAGCAAAAGAGTGCAGATCTAAGATTGCTAGATGGGGTTATTTATTGGGATTAAAAACATTAACGGCTTTCCTCTTTCAATAAAAGTTTATCACTGTTGATCTCAAAAACAAATAATAATAATAAAACGTCACCCATATACAGGGAAGGACCGTCCCCATGCATGTTGACTTTGGGGACTTGCGTGTGATAGCGTCCCCTTTTTAGTCAAAACCCCGTTCGGCTGACGTCACGTCAACACACAGTTCATTCTTGCCTTGCTCTAAGAGCGCATGCAGAAGACGAAGGAGGGGGGCGGGGGGGAGAAAACCTGTCTTTGTAGTAATAATATTTTTCATTTTTGCCAAAGGTGATAGGACAAGAGCGTAGCAGAAGGAATGTGTTAGTTAGTATGGCTTACCGGTCGGCACAAGATCCATCAGGCTTCTCATTTTCAGAGTCGAGCTTTGTGATGATCCCACAGTCCACGAGCTTTTTGATCCATCCGGCTGTAATTCCACAAATAGAAAACAGATGAGTTTTTCGAAATCGTTATAGCTACGGAGGAGAGAAAGAAACATGCGTGTACGCACCCGCGGTGGCGACATGAATGACGATGATGACCTTCGAATTGGTTGGAAGGTATTGTATGCACTGGGTTTGAATAACCTGCGAGCATAAACAATCATAAGTTTCTAAAAGTTTAGAGCTTACCCAACTAGAAATTATCTGAACATACCTCCATTCTGCTAAGAACCAAGTGATTTAAAAAATGAAGTGCGTTTGACGAACCAACCAAAGCATATTTATAGAGTCACGTCGTAATCAGCCATATCTTACAAATTGTAATCAAACAACACATCGGCACACAGACAAAAAAGGTCCAATATCTATTCTGGGTCACATCGTAACGAGGGACGTTCCCACTAGCATGCTGGTGTGGGCAGCCCAGGTTGCTTTTTTTTTTTTTAAAAGTTAAATTAATACTCTAGCCTAGGTCGGAAAACAATCAAATAAAAAAAAGAAAAAAAAAAGAAAAAAAAAAATATTGGTTCTTTGTTGTCAATCAATGACTGCAAATGGCAACTAATTTTATCATAATTACTTTCAATTTCAAACAAACTTTCATTCTAATAAATATTATTAACTATTCCCATTAGGATTAGGCTATTCAAATAAAATATTATTAACTAATCTCATTATCCCATCAGAACTAGGCTGACCAACAAATAAATAAAAAGAATTAAACCTCACACTCCACATGAAAAAAAATTAGACTCCCACTAGGCATAGACATTCCCTCTCTTCTTTACCAAAAGAAAACAAAAGAATTCTCTCTATTGAGTCCTTTTATGAGTCACGTCGTAACGAGTCAAATCTTCGAAATTATATACAAACAAAGCAAACACGCATCCGCAACGAGTACAGACAAAAAACGCCCCGCATGTATTCTAAGTGTGGCAGATCTGTTTTTGAAACTTTGAAGGGAAAGATTTTTTTATTATTTAAAAACCTATATATTCATATGGGCAGCCCAAGTTTAAAAGCTTAAAAGCTAACCCAATATACACACACGCCCATCCAACTTCAAAGTGGTCCAAGCTTTTGTCTCTTTTCCTTTGGTACACCAACTTTTCTCCCTTCTCTCTTCTATTCTACAGACCCGCGGAGGACAACAACAACATCCTTTTTCCCTCTTTATTTTCTGCATCTTTCTATAATACTAGACGGGCACTGGGCAACTTACCGGCTTGTCCTCTCCTTTCTATAACAAGTAATTTCTAATTCTCTTATTTTCTATATATCTTTAATTATTGTTTTAATTTAAAACTTAATATTTTAGGATTTTATTTATGTATAAATGTATTTGAGGGTAAGGCTTATTACGTCTCCCTAACTAGGTGTATCTTTTTCTGATTATTAATAAAATTCACTCGTACTGTCAAGTTTAGTATATAAATTCCGCCCAATTGGCTTTCCATTTTTGGGTGTGTTTTGCTTTTATTGTGTAATGTCAGTAACATATAATACATGTATTTTCCTTATAAAAAAAGCTCCCTTCGAGAATGGGCCTAAGGAAGTTGCACAGCTTCCCCTTGTCCAGCGCCGACACTGTTTAAGTGGGAGAGTTTTTTTGGCTAAAACCCCAAATTTTAGATTTTGCCACTTACGTTGGAGATGGTCCTATGAATGCAAGGGGTCGGAGAAAAGAAAGAGAAATGCTAGCAACTTTCTCTTTAATTTTTTTTTTTGGATATTCTTTCTTTTTTACTTGACACGTGTCATTCTTCTTACACTTAAAATAATGTCATTAATTTAGGGAGGTGATTTCCCCACTCTCATTTTCTCCACTTACACTCCCTTTTGCTTTTTAATACTTTTTAATCAATTTTGTTCTTTCTTTTTCCTATCATTTTCTCTACTTACACTCCCTTTCGCTTTTTAATACTTTTTAATCAATTTTGTTCTTTCTTTTTCCTATTATATCCTTACCATACATTAATTTATATTTTACTTCACTTTTATATTATTTCTTTTTTTTTATATACTTAATTTTCCAACTTACACCCCATTTTCAGTATTAAAGGAAAAAAAATCTTACTTTCTTAATCGACAAAAGGAAAACAATATACTAAAAATAGAGTGCAAGTTGGAAAATTAAGTATAAAGAAAAAGAACTAATATAAAAGTGAAGTAAAAAGAAATTAATATAGAATAAGGGTAGAATAGGAAAAAGAAAGAACAAAATTGATTAAAAAGTATTAAAAAGTAAAAGAGAATGTAAGTAGAGAATGTAAGTAGAGAAAAGAGGAGTGCGGAAATCATATCCCCTAATTTATTGTACTACCGTTAAAAATATAAAAAAAAAATAATTAAAAAAAAGGTACAATTATTGATTCTAAGGAGACGCTTACCTCTTTTTGGGGCGACACAAAGTAACTTTACCAGCTTGGTTCGTATATGTGCATAAATAGAAATGTAATTGAACTTCTTTTCTTTTTTTGGTAATGAAATGTAATTAAATTTGGTGGAGTGAACATGTGACCGAGTTTTATTCTTCTTTTTCTTGGCTAAACGGTCGGGTTTTGTTTTGGTCTTACCATATAACATGGAATTTGGTTAAATATTACAAAATGGATGGGAATTTTATGTTAAATCCATTTTATCTTTAAAAAATAAAAATAACAAAAAATAACAAAAATAACAACAACAAAAATAATAATAACAAAAACAACCAGACCATCTTGTGAGAGCTGCAGTCCTAGTTCTTCTCAAATGCTAACTGGTCAAGGTAGTTGGTTGTGAGTGGTAACCTACTCTCTGAACTTTTTTGTGTCATTTTTTTTTTACTTATTAAAATTCAGCAATGGAGAAAATTTTCGCAGTGCTATAGATAGTTGCAACTTACAAGTCAGCCCAACACGAAACACTCGTTGCAGCTGAAAAAAAAAACATTTGAAAATAATTTCTTGGTTCTCTGCCTCCTTCCTCAGTCTCTGCTACAAGGTCACAAGACTCGCAACAGAACCTCGGTTTCTCGGGCAAAGAACAGAGCATTTCTGATCAGATTTTCCATTCAAGGTCAGTTTTTCTCATCTGGGTTTTTCTCAGAATACAATTTTGTCATCTGGGTCCCTGCATTGCTTGTATTTGATTCCTCTTACATGCATTGCGTTTTTTTTTCCCATTGTATAAAAGAGAGAGCTTTTATTTTTGGGTAAAAAAAGGAGAGAGCTTTAGCTAGATCTTTTTATCGAAAAGGTGAAAAATGCCAATTTTTTTGTATAGTATCATAAAAAGTATGTGTTGTTTGGTTATTGATGATTGATTGGTCATTCATTTTGCAGGGTTGTTTAGGTCCTTTGAGTTTGAGCTGCATTTGCTGTTCTCTATTGTTAAAGTCCTTCTCTTTGATCTCTCTCACTTCACTGTGATCGATCAAACCCTCTTAGATTCTTTTTCTTGTTAGGTTGATTATCCAAAGCAAATCCCATTTCTGAAACCCCAAATAAAGCAGAATGTCATAGGAAATCCAGTCCAACCCAACTACCTAATCTATTTTACTGTTTATTGACCACCCAAATTATAGATTCCTGATCTCCTATTCTAGAGGAAATCGCTTCCTGTAGTCGAAAATGTTGTTTAAATTGCGGTTCAAGAGAAAGGGATTCATGCTTCTTTAACATCACTGTTCCATTGAGATCACCCAAGTCTCCAAATTTTGTCAATTTAGATCAACCCATCTCCTCAAATTTTTTGAAAAATGTCAGCTTCCAATTTAAGGACTCCTTTAAACCCTCCATCATCAGTATCCTCATCCTCATTGAAGCTTCCTGATTTCAAACAATCTGTGAAGCTGAAGTATGTGAAGCTTGGCTACCATTACCTCATCACCCATGGGATGTACCTGTTCCTATCCCCTCTGTTTGTTCTCACTGTGGCACAGCTCTCTACATTTTCACTCCAAGATCTCCATGACCTTTGGGACCATCTCAGGTTCAATCTCATATCTGTTGTCCTTTGCTCAACTCTTTTGGTCTTCTTATTGACCCTTTATTTCCTTACTCGTCCACGCCCCGTTTACCTTGTTGATTTCTCATGCTATAAGCCGGAGGATACCCGAAAATGCTCAAGACAAATATTCATGGATAGGTCTCATTTTATAGGAACATTCACTGGGGAGAACCTCGAGTTTCAACGAAAAATTCTTGAGAGATCAGGTCTTGGGGAGTCAACCTACCTCCCCGAAGCTGTTATACAGGTTCCTCCTAATCCATGTATGGCAGAGGCCAGAAAAGAAGCTGAGATGGTAATGTTTGGTGCCCTTGATCAGCTCTTTGAGAAAACTTCTATAAAACCAAAAGACATTGGTATTCTGATTGTAAATTGTAGCTTGTTTAATCCAACACCATCTTTGTCAGCTATGGTTATCAATCATTATAAGCTACGAGGGAATATTATTAGTTATAATCTTGGTGGGATGGGATGTAGTGCAGGCTTGATCTCGATTGATCTTGCTAAAGATCTTCTTCGAGTCCACCCCAATACCTATGCTTTGGTCATTAGCATGGAAAACATCACTTTGAATTGGTATTTTGGGAATGATAGATCAATGCTTGTTTCAAACTGCTTGTTTAGAATGGGAGGAGCTGCAATATTGCTTTCAAACAATGGGTCAGACAGACGTCGATCCAAGTACCAACTGGTTCATACTGTTCGAACCCACAAAGGTGCTGACGACAAGTGCTTCTCATGTGTAACCCAAAAAGAGGATTTTGCAGGGAAAATTGGAGTTTCTCTGTCAAAAGATCTTATGGCAGTTGCTGGAGATGCTTTGAAGACCAACATCACTACCTTGGGTCCTCTTGTGTTACCTATGTCTGAACAGTTGCTCTTCTTTGCCACACTTGTTGGGAGAAAGCTTTTCAAGATGAAGGTGAAGCCTTACATCCCTGATTTTAAATTAGCTTTTGAACATTTCTGCATTCATGCCGGAGGAAGAGCTGTGCTGGATGAATTGGAGAAGAACTTGCAGCTTTCGGATCGCCACATGGAGCCATCAAGGATGACACTTTACAGATTTGGCAACACTTCAAGCAGTTCTCTTTGGTATGAATTGGCTTATACAGAAGCCACGGGGAGGATGAAGAAGGGAGACAGAACTTGGCAGATTGCGTTCGGGTCTGGCTTCAAGTGCAACAGTGCAGTTTGGAAGGCTTTGAGAACTGTGAATCCAGCAAAAGAGAAGAATCCATGGATGGATGAGATCCACCAGTTCCCAGTGGATGTTCCAAAGGTCTCAGCCCTCTAATTCCAGTGGCAGTTTCCCATTTCTTCTAGCAATATAAAATATATTAGGGGTAGCTAGTTTTCTGTTTCACTGCTACAATCTTCATGTTTGGCTTTAATGGAGTTACTGTTTGGCTTTAGTTATTAGGGCAGGAGATAGATGGTGTTAGTGTTTGGTTTACAGTGTATCCATGTGGTTTTGACTTGTGATTATATGCCTAATTAATCGGCTGTTTGTTTTATTATGGTATTTGTCTTGTTGGTTTGAGGGTTTTATGCTGTTTGGTGATCCATAAACTGGGATTAATATCCAATGAGAAGGATTATTCTTAATCATCATATATTCCTCTTGGGTTATAGATGTTCTTGGCTCCGGCCTACATTTTCCTCTGCTACCTATGTTTTGTGGATCCATTAACTGAGCTCATGTCACAAGAGATTTGTCTCCATATTAGACACTTCTTTGACTGACACAATAACAACTAATTTCTTTTTGGTTTTTTATACATCACTGTAAATTGTGTTACACACGCCTTTGATAGTTCCCCACATTAGTTGGAGCCAAACTATAATTTTCTAGTTTAATACGCTTGTGTTATCTTTCACTTCAAGTATAATATTTTAGTATTTTAAAGTACTCATAATTAGCACAAAGATGACACACTAAGAGTCCAAATAGTCTTGCCTTTAGAAAATAAAGTGTTACATAAGGCCTCAAATCTTTTATAAAGATTACACTATTATCTTTGTCTTTCACATTTTTCACGTTTGGGTTTCATATGGTTTTCTTACTAAGTACCTCGATGAAAGAGAAAGAGTTACTTGGTTTTTGACTTAGGCAGAGCCTTTTCTTCTCTATTTTTTTCGGAAAACATTGCAACCATTTATTATTGGAAGGGTTAGTGATTTTCAACATGACACTACTCAAATATTTTGCGAAATTAACAAAATTGAAGAATTAGACAACAGATTAGGGTCGCATCAATCACAAATAACCTAACTATGACACCACAAATCTCTTCAACTAAATTTCTAATGAAAAGGAAAAAAAAACCGAACGAGTGCAATTATCTTATTTTCTCCAATTTTTGAGGATTGGGAAGAAACGGAAAAACAAAGAAAAGAAACAGAGTTATGAATCATATAGTTTACAGAAGACTTTCATTTAATAACCATAACACACCAAACAAAGCACCTCTAATTTCTAAACTCTAACCACTACCGAAGAAATGAAAAATATATATTCTTTGATTGTTCCCAATAGAAGTAAAAGTATGCCAACCCACAAAGGACATTATCAATGAATAAAATGTATCTGAAAATGTACAAAGGAGTTCCATTTTCCCAAGAGGAGTTGACTATACATGGAAACCACAAGAATACTAGTCCTTGGTGGACTTGTTGATGAGAGACTTGTGAATGTGAGGGATCACACCACCACCGGCTATTGTTCCTTTGATCAGGGTGTCGAGTTCTTCGTCACCACGAATTGCAAGTTGCAAGTGTCTGGGTGTTATACGCTTCACCTTTAAATCTTTGCTTGCATTACCTGCCAGCTCCAGCACTTCTGCAGTCAGATACTCCAAGATAGCGGCAGAGTACACAGCAGCTGTTGCACCAACTCTTCCATTAGCTGAAACCCTTGACTTCAAAAGACGGTGAATTCGACCAACTGGGAACTGCAGAAATACATATTCAAATATCAGAGATAGGGAACATAGCGGGCATATATACCCAAAAACAACTAAATAAAATCCGTTGTGAGCGGGAGAAATTAAAGAACTACAAAAACATCTAAAAGAACTACAAAAACATCTAAAAGAACCAATTCATCAACCCGTGGAAAGTCTACGATACACTCATGCTTATACACAAGTTCATGAGACTATACTTGAAACCCAAATTATCATCTAGGGTAATTAATTTACAACAGCACCTCACCCAGGTTAATGACACATCTGATTAAATTGATCTCATCATTAAAAAGAAAGGCATTGCAGGATAGATTGAAACAGGGACCAAGGTTCCAATTGTGGACTCAAGATAATGAATAAACAATGAACATAGATGACCCGATATCAAATCGTCCTTTTATATGTTTTGGTCATAAATGTGATTGGATTAGGGCAACTACTAGATCAAGAAAACATCAGCTGAGTAAGTTAACAAGTCTTTTATTGATTCCCCTTATACCCATCTAAGTTGGGTAAGCTATTCCTTCACCACTATGGGTCACTTTCTTTAAAGAAGCCCAACCTTCACTCACATGCAAAGAAAATATCCTAATCTAAATTTAGTAGACCAGGATTTGACAGCAAAAAGATAATGTTGATGCATAACCTTCTTGACCAATTATAACCTTATCAAATTGGAAGAACCTATCCTACTCTCACCATCAGGAGAGTTGAAGCTAAAATTTCTAAAACAGCTGCAGTGAATACTATGCACTGTTGCTTAACAGAAAAACTAAACAGACTAATTTCACGAAAGAGGACTGTAAAATCTCCGTGCCAGTGCAGAAACGTATTAAACCAAAAATCAGCTGAGACAACTATTTACCTAAATATTTGATGCTTATCTGCCTACAGTTAGATGCACAGAGAAAACCCAAATTTGCAGATCTTAAAGCACTAAATATAACGTATGAGGGCCGTGGGTAAATATGAAAAGCAGAGGAGAGCAGAAAGTAGCAAGCCAGTGCAATTTTAAACTCTCCATTACCATGATAGACCTCTTCTTCATGCCAAGCTCAGTACCATGATAATCCATCCATCCCCACGTAATTGAAATCCTATGAATTTGAAATTCAGTAACTTTTACAGCAAGCAAACTAATCATAACTGACCACAATTATCCCATGTATCCCATCAAGCACAATTTAGCAGATTGCTCTGAGCTAGTGAGCTCTGAAATTACGAAATCTCCACGACCCAACTATTCAATCTCTTTTTTTTTCCTTCCATTTCATTAATAATTTAGAGTTTTCCAACCATAATTCTAATTCTATCCATAATAATTCGTATACACACCAAGAACCAACACAAATGAGAACACGCATTTTCAAAACAGAGCATATTTTGAAAAACGAAGATTTACCCATGAATGAAACACGAAGGAAAATCAACGAAATCGAACTGAAAACAAATATAGATGAAGAGAGAGAGAGAGAGAGAGAGAGAGAATTGTACCTGAAGTCCAGCTCGAGAAGAACGAGAGATAGGTTTCTTCTTGTCCTTGTCTTTGTCTTTGTTGATGGCTGGGCTTTTGCCCATTATCAAACCCTTCGCGCCTTTACCTGACATTTCTTTTTCTCGAGAAATTGAAAGAAAATGTGAATAACTCAATTTGCTTTCGAGACAGCAGCAAAAAGCCCAAAACGCGAACGCAGATAAAAACAGAGAGAATTTGCAGATGGAGGTCGAGAAAGATCGAATCTTTTGAAGATTTCAGAGACTGGAGAGGGAGAGAGAGAGAGAGAGAGAGAGAGAGAGAGAGAGAGAGAGAGAGAGAGAGAGAGTCGAGCTATTTATAAGGAGCTTTTTACCGCTTAAAATACCCACCGACTTATGTTTAATCACGAACAAACCACTTTCTTACTTGGATTTGGATCGGGTCTTTTTGGTCTTTTGGATATGTGAGAACAATATGTATTGACTTTCAAAGAAAGTGCGTTTATAATAATTTTGGAAAATAATATACTGGTCTAGAATGTTAGAAGATGTCTCAAGTTATTCGAAACGTTGATATTATAATTAACGCGTTACACTTCTTGTTAATGTAATTTCTATTACAAAATGACAAGCTGAGGCATAAAATCATGCCTTAGCTCTCACTTCTCAGAGTAGGATAACTTGCTCATAAATTCATTCCATTCCATCATCACTACTATATCATTATCCTATTGATGTGTTTTATTTTTAATTAATTATGGGAACATACCCATTTTATTTTTATATATAGCTAGTTCATTCTTAATTATCAGATCATGATGCGGGTGATTAGATATAAACACATGTATAAATCTGAGGCAAACACATGTATAAAAATATAAACAAGTTTAGGAACTTGGGAGGTTAAGACAATAGAGGAATCTGGTAATGCACATTTTCTTCAATTCTCTAGAAACAGTTAATAGGAGCAAAATTCAACTACATACTAACTAACCATGCTGAAAGGTACACATACAATCAAACCAAACTAATTGACCTTCCGCCCTCGAAGTTCTAGGAAAAAAAATATATCAAAGGGGTCCCATGTCCCTTGATAAAACAATGTGTTGTCTTCTAATTCAAACCCTGCAAATGCAAAATTAAATCACAATTATTGATCATTAAAAGCCACGAAGAAATACAAAACGAAAATCTAATGAGTTAGTCAAATAACACTGCATATTAATTTAAATATGTTGATTAACAGTTTGACAACATAACATTCAGTACTTACTGTTGAAATTCAATGTTAACGAACTTAGCAGAAGAGTTGGCGATTGCAGCGAAGGCCGTGGTGGAGAGGGCCATAGTAGTATCTTTCCTTGAAGGCCGAGACACCGAAGAGAGAGCTCGATCCACAATCCTTATCTGAATCGTCTTCCCTGGAACGCAAGTTCCTAGCACCGGCGCACTAATGCACCTCACCAGATATTGCCTGCCGCAGGCCGCACCATTGTCCCATATTCCCTCCCCGGCTGACCCAAACAGGTTGCTCGACGGAAACTGCGAGGGGTCGCTTCCCCTGCACGCGGTGGCTGCATGGATGCAATGGAATGCAAGTTTAGGTATTAATCAAATATCCATGTTAACAGAAATACATCGACAGCTTGAAAATTCTGCAATAACAATGAAGATTTTAAACTAAATATATTTGATATTCGGAAAAATTATATGAAAGTTTCGAGTAAAATGTACTAAAGGAAGAAAAAAAAAACTGAAAAAGATATTGTATGTAATAAAGATACATTAGGGTTTAGGGTTTTAGGTTTACGCAGATATGGGGGGCTGTAGTGGGCAGCAGAGCCAACATCAGCCTGAGAGGAACGAAAGAGCGCTGATAAAAACAGGAAGAGAAACAGCCATGGAAGGGAGCTCGGAGAAGTTGACATGCCTGGATCAAAAAGTAAGAAGAAAATAATCTGATGGAATTAGTTAAACATTATATATATATAAACAATATCAATTAAAGATTCATTCAAAGTCAAAGGTTTGAAAATTAGGTTAATTTTAACTTGGGGTGCAGGCCAGTTACTTGGTAGCTCAGAGTAGGACACCGAAAAATAAGAATGTACGATCGTCTAAACAAGTAAAAACAGCAGAAAATATGTCCCGGTCCTAAGATGAGGTAGCCTCCCCTCCTCCTAAATTTTTCTTTATTAAAAAAAATAGCAGAAACACAAACACAAACAGAAGTAAAAACAAAACGGCAGATAGAAAGAGCAAGAAATAATAGATTAGTTAAGAAATCGGATTTAGTGGTTTTGGTACGTAGGTAGGGTGATCAAATGAGTTATGGTTGATCCAAAACCACCTTAATTAATCACCTTAAATAAGTGGAAGAAGAGTCCAAGAGGTAAGACAAGAGCACAATCTTAAATTCTTAATTAACAGCATACAAATATAGTACAAATCTCAGCCGTCCATTGTCTACTACTGGACACCACACAGAAGAGTAGAGGACCCATGTACTTCCATGTGGACAAAGCTAGAGCTTAGCCGTCCCGCACATGCTCTTTGCTTACAAAGTCATTCACTGGCCAAGGCAAGTCATGTTGGTTGGTTTGGTCGATATTCGCTTTTTATTCCGCAACCAGTTTCTAATTTTTTATTATATATATCTCTTTTAATCAATGAATTAAAACACTTATATTTGATTCTTGGGATATTACCAACGTATTTTTCTTTCCATTTAATCCAAATAATCTAACAATTTAATAACATTCCAATTTCTAATAAGAAGATGACCCCCACAACAAAAATTTGTTTTAAATTAAATTATAATACTCGATCCGTGGTTTAGGTATCATTCTCAATTTTTCCATTCAAACTTTCGGTTTAGATTGGATCGGTATAAAATAGAAATAAATAATTATCATACTAAACTGGATTATTCGTCTAGATGGTATTCGATTTTTCAGCACAAATACCCACCCCAGCTTTCCTTGTATGTATTATACAAAGATCTAACGGTCTGGCATATTAGAATGGAAGGGGGAAGTACCTAAAACATATACAATGCATCTAAAGGAACCAAATATTGTAATATTAAGGTAACATCTAAATTGATTTATGAGTGAAGGAGATTGCAACGCTCGTACCTGGGCAAGTGCTGTGCTCAGCGAGAAGATGAATAGATAGCTTGAAGCCTGATCGAGAGTGCAGGCAATGTAACTAGATATGGAGGAATTTATAGATGAAAGAAAAATAAAATAGATCACATCTTCTGAATAAGGTAGGCAATTTATTTGGAACGTTTCCTTGCAAGGGAGGGACTGCTCAGATGTGTACGTTAACGTTAAGATGCGTAGTCGTTTTAAAACGTAACTTACTCATTAATTCTTTTTTTATACGTCTAATAATGAATTCCGAATTTAATTTCCACACCAAATTTACTTTCTTTATTACTAAATTTGTATTAAGGGTTAAGGTAAGGGTGATCCATTCAATGCACCTATGTATCTGAAAAAATCCCAACAAAGTTTTCTTATTTTATGCACTCTCTTTCGTTTTCATAAGTTTTTTTAACTTCAAAGTAAAATGACAAATTGTTATGCTTTCTCACGGGGTCGATGAACATGGCGTACGTAGTTACTTATTTGTACAAGTAGAAGCCAAAAAAAGATTCCAATTTCAATTTCACATTTAATTTCTATAATTACTCTAACAAACGAGCAAAATTGTCTTTTTTTAATACAATCGATATTTGATATTGGGGAAGGGGAAATGAAACCTGGGACCCAAGAACCTAAGAGCATCTCCAACCGATATGTCGAAAGTGCTACATAAACATTTAACGGTTAGAAATAACATCTCACATTATTCCAACCGAATTGTCAAAGCTAATATGGAATGAAGGCCGGAGGTTCAACCATTACTTTTGACATTCCAAAAGTAAGATGTCAAATGAATATTTTATTATTTTTTAAAGACAATTGGCTGTTACTTTTATTTATTATTTTCTTCTTTATCTTGAATGATTTGACTATTACAAATTTTTTCTTTCTTTCTCTTTCCAATTTATTTCATATCTTGAATGAACACTGAAATGTAATAAAATAATAATTTAATTTAACATATCGGGTGGAGTGTAAAACTGTGTAATTGTCAAATTGCCACATTTGCCATCAAATTTAAATTTAAAGTTTGGTATTTGACATCTCCCTTGGAGATGCTCAAGATCATGAATAAATACTCTTAACCACTTGAGTTACAAGTCCCTTGCGGAAAAAGTTGTCCATCTAATAGAAAATTCATGGAATTAGTCATAACATGAATTTGAACATAATGAAAAAAAAATATTAAAAAATAAAGGATATAGAGAAAAACACGAATAGAAAGACACAAATAGAAAGGCACAAAGGGAAAGCCTTAATCCCATGAATTTAAACAGAATAGGAAGAGAAGAAAAAAACACAAATAGAAAGGCGGTTACCATTTCTCTTATAAGTTCCAACAAACAAATGTACTTTGCCGACTCCATACTTTTTTTGTTATCCTAATATTTGGTTTTTAAGGAAAGAGGAGGAAGAGAGTAAATTACTTGCAACTCTTACCATAAATGAAAGGTTAATCTGCATCCCAACGAACGTGAGCCGCTGTAATATATGTTTCGGAGCTTTCAACAGACACAAAGTAAACAATAAAATTTGAAGTTGGTGGAACCAATTATCCTAGAATCTCTTTCTCTTTAATTGGATATTTGCATTGTGAAATTATCGTTTGCAATTTTAAAAGGAAAAAAAAAAAAAGAAAGAGAATCCATTTGGGTTGGAAGGCCGATTGTGTACTTGGCAACCTTTATAATTTAAGGGACACCAGAGCCTTGCATTTATTTTGTACTTTTGCAATTAGATACTCTCCAATTAATGCTTCTTGCGTCTCCTCTGAATTCTCTGTTCACTTCTTTGCTGTGTCTCTCTGCAACTTTTCACAACGCTTAAATGTTTTGGTTGTGTTACTGTGATTCTTTATTCATTTTCTGCAAGTGAGCTCCCAAATTCTGTTATTTCTTGAAATTCATTGAGTTTGGAGAGTTGGGTTTGTGTTTTTCCTCATGGGTACTGCTTCTGCGGGGTACCCATCTGGAATTACTTCCCATTACCGTGGAAAGTTTGGGGCTTTTCCTCAAAAAGTCGAATTCATTGGCTCTAATTTTCCACTTCATGTGGAATTTCCAAGAAGTAACTTGTACCCAAGTTCTGTTTCCACCACGACATCCAAGGTAATCACTGTTGCCACCCTCATCTCTTGTGTACTTGCTTCAGAAACTGAGAAAAAGAAAGAGAAATAGCACCTGAACAAAATCTATGCTTTGTTTGAATGGGTTAAATTATGTTTAAATTTGTGAGGTGCTGTGTTCTGTAAAGTTTTAGGCCAATCATTCAATTTGGTATCTTTCTTGAATTGGGTGAGCGGCAATGTTTGTTGTTTGTCACTATATTCGCTATTTTCAGTAACTATTTGTTTCTAAAACGGAAAAGCTTTATTGGTGAATGAGAACTTGGTTTCCAGGATGATGAGAGACAGAAAGGAAGAGGGGAAACTGCCATCATCATCAAATATTTTTCTTTTAAGTTAATTTATAGTCTACATCATGTCCCAAATGATTTTAACACTAAGCACTAAGCGCACATAGAGGTTCATCTGGATTCTAGATTGATAAATCCCTTAAAAAGATAGAATGTTTATATTATCCACTCCTACATAGGCAGTTAATATCTGTTTATTTTTATTTTTTTTCATGATGCAGGAAATAGTGTGTCCAAAATGTTCTCTGCCTGATAGTGGTGAATTTTTCTCAGAAGAAGTCTCGACACCCATTCTTGATTCGGTTGAAAATCCTATCCACCTGAAGAACTTGTCTCTTAAAGTGAGTTTTGAGGCATTTACATACTTTGCTTTTATGGTTATACTTAACTTTACAGCTTCTTTACTCACCACAAATTGATCAGTGCAGGAACTGAAACAGTTATCTGATGAAATCCGTTCAGAGTTGTCATCAATAATGTCAAAAACAAGAAAGTCTTTTAAAGCTAGCTTGGGAGTAGTAGAGTTGACAGTGGCCATGCACCATGTTTTCCATGCTCCTGTGGACAAGATACTGTGGGATGTTGTAGAACAAGTAAGATCATAATGTCTATACCTTCTCCTTGTAGGGATACCTAATTTTTGGAGAGATGGTGCTGAATATGGATCACTTGTGGTATTGTTTCCATTTTGATGTTCAGAGTTATTACCAGAAAAACACATATAAAACAGGAAGCGAAGAAATCAATGGAAATCTTCAATTTATATTTAGTGATTGTATGATCTAAGTTTTAAAAAATTTCTCTTGTACTGGCAGACCTACGCTCACAAAATTCTAACAGGAAGACGGGACCTCATACATACAGTGCGACGAAATAATGGTCTTTCTGGTTCTACATCTCAATCCGAAAGTGAATATGATCCATTTGGGGCAGGGCATGGGTGCAGCAGTGTTTCTGCTGGACTTGGTAGTTGTCCGCTTCCATTCTGCTTCTTGTTCATTTTTTTCTTGTCACAAAATCACTTTCTTTGAGAAAAGTTCACGCTTTTATTCAACTTAACTTGAATTGAACACTTCTCTGGATATTCTGGTAATCGTATATGTTCTTTTTATGTTGCTTTACATATTGATTTTCATGCTCGCGTCCAGCTTAATTTGCATTTTACACTTTTCTGAGTTCATGTAGCTCATGATAGTATGTTCTTTCCTTTCAGATTTTTTGTCTTTTTTGGGGTTAATTTCAGATTTGTTTATTTGCTTGTTGTGCGGTTAGCATATAGGAGAAAATCTTTCAAGTTTGGTCAGCTAACTTAGATTTACAACTTTATTATTTTTTAACTGGACTGCAATTTATAATCTTTACAGGCATGGCAATTGCACGGGATATTAAAGGAAAGCGGGAACGTATTGTCACAGTCATCAGCAATGGGTCAACAGTAGCTGGTCAGGTCTATGAGGCAATGGGTAATGCAGGGTATTTGGACTCAAATATGGTAGTTATTTTAAATGACAGCAGGCACTCTTTACACCCAATGATTGAGGAGGGCCCCAAGACAACCATTAATGCTCTGTCTAGTACCCTAAGCAAGCTCCAGTCAAGTAAATCATTTCGGAAGTTTAGAGAAGTTGCTAAGGTATTTCCTCGGTTTTACGATCATACCTCTAGGACTAGAAGATTTTATGACACTGAAGCGTTATTTTGAGGACTTTCATAAATATTTAGCTGTATTGGAATTATTGAAGTCCAGAGAACAGAGATATTAAAAAAAATATTTAAGACTTTGGGCAATATTTTAGACAACCTGACCCGAGCATGCAGAAGTTATTTGATTTTGTGTGCCCTGCATCTAAGAGAAGAACGTAGTGGGCTCTGGGGATCTTGAGATATCAAACATTTCCTGTTGCTTATGGTTAGCATTATTGAGTTTTTATGCTTTATATTTTTCATTCGCTGAAGTATTTATTTCTCTTCCACCCTTTTTTTTTCAGGGTGTTACTAAAAGAATTGGTGGAGGTATGCATGAATTGGCAGCTAAAGTTGATGAGTATGCACGTGGTATGGTCGGTCCACTAGGATCAACTCTTTTTGAAGAGCTTGGATTGTATTACATTGGCCCTGTTGATGGACACAACATTGAAGACCTGATTTGCGTTCTACAGCAAGTGGCATCACTGAATTCAATGGGTCCTGTTTTGGTCCATGTGATAACAGAAGAAAATCAGGGACTGGAAAACAACCCGAAGAGTGGGGTGGCATACAGGCAGCAGGAAGGTACATCTCTCATTTCCTTCTCTGATGTTCATTTCATTTCTGTGCAAAGTTCTGCAGTAACTTTTGGGATTCATGCGTTGATTTAGGTGTGATGTAGCCAAACTCATCCCATGTTAGTTTGGTTTTATATTTCATCTAAGGTTGGCCTTGGTTCAGGCCTTTAGTGAGTATAAGAAATTTCCAACTACAAAGATTAGTTCCCATTATCTCTCTGGTTTCCTGGCCTGACTCTCTCCTTTTTGTAGAGGATAAAAAGCCAAGTTGAATTGATACATATGTTGTTTTACATTCCAAACCTGCAGGTTTGAGTAATTCTGATGATTTACCGTCCAAAGCTCGCCCTAGAACTTATAGTGACTGCTTTATGGAGGCTTTGGTTATGGAGGCAGAGAACCTATTCCGTGAAAGATTTCCTGACAAATTTTTTGATGTGGGAATGGCTGAGCAACATGCAGTTACTTTTTCTGCTGGTTTGTCACGTGGAGGATTAAAGCCATTTTGCATAATTCCTTCTGCATTTCTACAGAGAGCTTATGATCAGGTCTGTTTGATTGATCCCTTCTGCTTGTTGGTAGTAATCATATATCTAACAAAATATTATTATTAATATCTTTGTTTTGAGGAAAATGTTATTAAGTTTATTTTCTTATGGCCTGTCTAGGTGGTTCATGATGTAGATCGGCAAAGAATTCCAGTGCGTTTTGTCATTACAAGTGCAGGATTGGTTGGATCTGATGGTCCCTTGCAGTGTGGGGCATTCGATATAACATTTATGTCATGCTTACCAAATATGATTGTCATGGCACCGTCCAACGAGCTTGAGCTTGCCAACATGGTGGCCACTGCAGCCTACATTGATGATCGTCCAGTTTGCTTCCGATATCCTAGGGGAGCCGTAGTTGGGATGGAACATTCTATGTGCAGTGGGACCCCCATTGAGGTAATTGTTGCTATTTGTCCGTTGCTAGAAATAAGCGTACCATCATTACCAATAGGAATATTTAAAAGATAGAACTTGGTGCATTTTCATATTACCTTTGTTCTTTTCACTTCGTAATGTTAGACGACTTAACTTGTTCTTATGCCTTTATATTGACTGCTTTGCACTGCTGAGCAGATTGGAAAGGGGAAAATTCTCACAGAGGGTAAAGATGTGGCATTGCTTGGATATGGATCAATGGTTCGGAACTGCCTTAAGGCTCGGTCTCTTCTTTCAAAGCTTGGCATTGAGGTAACAGTTGCAGATGCAAGGTTCTGCAAGCCCTTAGACATCAACCTTCTTAGGCAGCTTTGTCGGAACCACTCATTTCTAATCACGGTCGAGGAAGGCTCTATTGGAGGATTTGGATCCCATGTTGCGCAGTTCTTTGCACTTGATGGACAGCTTGATGGAAGCATTAAGGTAATATCTATTTTCAGCAACATGGTATGCAGCTTCCTTTGGAATTTTCTACATTATATATCTTATGCTGTTTCGGTTCAATAATAATTGTCAAAGGCACACTTAATGTTAACCCATTTTGACTTAAATTCTTCCTTTCTGTCTGAAATCGACTTTCCAGTGGCGACCAATTGTTTTACCGGACAACTACATTGAGCATGCATCCCCAAACGAACAGCTAGCTATTGCTGGGCTGACTGGACATCACATAGCTGCAACAGCGTTAAGTCTGCTTGGCCGAAATCGTGAAGCCCTCCACTTAATGTGCTAAGCACCTGCACTTCTCTACCATTTGCATTGAGATTTTGCTGGTTAGCCGAAGAAAGGGAAAGACAGATAGAAGCTCAAGCAGCCATAGTTCTACCAATGTTTAGGAAATTTTTTCCCGTACCTATTTGTATATAAGTGCTTCTCACAAGTTTATGATATAATTGTACAGCGGCAATGTCACAATGGAAATGCATGTTTGCTGATATGCATTAAGAGTTATACTCTACAGCCCAACTAAATATTTAAGAAATTTAATATCATGCTCTCAGATCTACTGTAATAAATTGAAGATTTGCAATCATAGCTTAACAAAGCTAAGGCCAGAGGATGGGTGGAGATTAGGGTGTAATTGTCAATGCCATAATAATTGTATATTTATTAATAAAATCATCACTAGGCTATGTTATAACAGATGGATCAGTAATACCGTGACAGTGGTACTTATCACGAACCCAAAAAATGAAACTCTCGAATTTAGAATGAAATGGTCCCAAAAGAGGTGATATGCATTTGTTTTTATTTTTTTAAATACAACTTAGGTGCAAAGGGGCAGACTCACTGCCCTGACCAATTGGCCTAACAAGCGTTAATGCAATCGCGTTTGTTTGTTACAAAAAGTGATTCAATTTTAATGTAGATCTCCATAAGATTCGCGTGGGAAGCTAAGGGAGGTTAGACCTAACACGTGTGTGATGTAGTCTATATATGTTTTTGAGTGGCTAGTTTTTTCTTTTCTTCCTCTTTTGGTAGCATAGTGAAGTCCATTGGCTACAGTTGCATCCTTGACCCCAGTTCACCCCAATCCACCTAACAAAGTTACCGAAAGTGCTATTTCTGTAGATTGATATTCTCCATAAATTAGGTCATATGAATGACAAAGACTCCACTACTTGAATACTATTTGCAAAGTAACAAGATTCACAACCCATTATAGGTCTAAACTGTTAAGACTCGCATATTTTAAATATGATTTTGTTCCCAATTGAATAAGTTCTTCTTCTTTATGATTGTGCATATTAAGTAGGGTAACTGTTCTCTAGCGTGACTCGACTGATTGAATTTGAGCCCTTCATTACTGTACTATAAAGTTTTGAGTCTCAATATTTATAAGTTCATCACCAGTTCCAAGACATTAGTTAATTGAAATAGTTCAGTTGAAGCCGGACCTCCAAACTAGCGCTTATGATATAAGACTACAGATTTGGACACCATTAAGTTGATTATTCACATGAATGTACACAGTATAAATTTCAATATTATAACATAAGTCTGGCAAGAAAACATTACTCAATAAGTGAAGTTTAAATTGGGCATATTGAAGAATTTAATACAAAATTTTCACACACGACTCATGAACGGATTTTTTTTTGGGTCAAACATAGGTCACTGTCAGTTTGGGTGGGAAAATCTGGGCCGAGTACCATGCATATATTGCTTACCCAGTCAGTAAAAAGCAAACCCAAAGGACCAGCTTACCTTAAGCTCACCTCTGCTCAGCTCCTCAGCTGAGCTCACCCACATGGCAATGGCTGCCACTGCCAGGCATTCTCAGCCGCAGGGTGTGTTTCCCTTTACCTTTTGGCAAATAATAATAAGATAATTTCAGGCTGCGGATGGTTTAGGGATAAAGAGAAGAAAACGACATCACCACCATTAATCAACGACACTCAATTTTCGAGCTGACTATTTAAGCGGCTGCGTGGGGGCATCAGGGTGCGGGGCCCATCCCTGCCCTCCAAATCAACGCAGAGTTCAGTGAGAGGTTGCCCGCGTTCTTCAGCAATTCATGCTCACCTCAAAAACTAAATTGGTATTATTACTTTGTTCTTATTCTCTTATTGTTCTTCATTTCTTTGTTTGGGTGGTTGGTGATTACTCGACCAACATAACACTTGTTGGTGTGTTCATTCGTGACGAGACGACAGATTCTTCATTCCCATTGTCACAGTCTTAGCTAGTATTATCGATTCACTTATATTATAATATATATTTATTTTGTTAATATTGAATTCGAGATTTATGATATATTAACTATTTTGCTCACTTATATTATAACATATGTAGAAATAATATCATGTGACGGTGGTGAATATCATGTGACGGTGGTGTGATCATCACACCTAAATATTTTTCATTTATGACGAGATTCTCTGAGATGTATGCTAACTAGCTAACAAATCATTCAGTGAATATTACATGAAAACAATCCAAACTCTAGCCTTCCCCTTTCCTAAGTAAGAAGATTTTAAAATTCCTAACTTCTTGTGCTATACTAAAAATGTATGCAGATGATGGTTGAGCCATAATTTAATTATTAATATTATACTCATGTTAGAACATGTGTACTAATTTATTAATATTATGCTCGAGATTTATAAGATCATAATATATCAATCATGTCGTGTATTCATAATATAACACATGAAGTAGTAATATCATTCGACTTGATACTCACATTTAAGTGCTTTCTATTCATGACAAGATACTGACATGTATACTCGTGAACAGATCATGTCACCAACAAATGCCACGTGGAAAAGTTTTGTCACCTTGTTAATATTACATGACAACAATCCAAACTCTGGCCTTCCCTTTTCTTTAAAAGGAAGGGTTTAGGGGTTGCAAACTTAAATAGGTAATAATTCCAGACTTTGCAATATTAAAATGTGTAGATGATGGTTGAGCCATAATTTAATTGTTGTTCAGACTTCTCTAAATAACATGAAGAATTGAAGATGATCTATCCGAGATCCGTGTACAGTACAGTACGGTACAGAAAATCCTCAAACTCAAATCCCTAGAAAATCCAATGCACGCGAAGACAGCAAAAGTACAGAACACAAAACGCTAAACATAAATATAAGTTTACAAATCATCCATGAAGGCCGTCTGCCATCCACCAATGAGGGCCCTCCACGTAAGCATGCCCCTCCCACATTAAAATCAGGCCCACTAAACCCGGGTGAGCCGATATTTAAGTACAATCCCCAGCTTCTCCCTCCACAATTCTCTCCCTCTTGTATCTGGAGAAACCAGACGGTTATTTTGAGGGTGGAGAGAGAAAAAAAAACCCAGAGAGACAAAAGAAAGCTAATAGTAAAAGAAACTTAACAGAGAGATTGAGGAGGGAGAGGGCGAGATTGTCCCTTGACACTTTAAACAGAGTCTGTGACTTCCGGCAACCCCCCTGCCGGAATAACTCACTCTTCTGGCACCGGCTACGTCCTCCATTCCTTGTTACTTATAAACCCTCTTCATCGTCGTTCCGGTGCGTGGGCCCCACCATTTGTCTTCCCATGCATGCTCTGGGTTTTGCAAGTTTGAGAAAAATAAAAAATAAAACTACATTTCTTGTACTTTAACTTGATTGCATCGATTGCCCTGTGTATCATCTCTCTGAAGCAGAGCAGTGTTGGTAACAAGTTGGTTTTGGGGATTTCTGGTTTACATTGCATGTTGTTGTCGTTGTTGTTGTTGATGCTTGTGTTTGTATTATATGAAAAGTACTGAAACTATTTGAATTTTGAATCACATGCATCCCATTATTTGTACAGTCTTCTTCTTTAAAGAAAAGTATTGAAGCTTTTGGTATTCTATTTTTTGGTTTCTTTCACAGTTGTGTCATGAGGCTCTCACACACTATAGCAATATTTATTATTATATTTTTCACCTAATGGCATTCATGTGACTTGCCAAAGTTTATTGATACTCGCCAATCAAAGAAACTTGCATGTAATGCAGTGTAAATTTGACCCTTATAGCTAATTTCTTCCACCAGCGGCAATGGACAGCATCAGAAGTCCATTCAAGGGAATAATCCACGATGTCAAAGGAAGAGCAGCGTGCTACAAGGAAGACTGGATTGGAGGACTTTGCTCTGGTGTTAGGTAAAAATCACCATGTTCTCTTTCAGGGATTCCATAACCTTGATTAGTTGATTCATAATCTTCTCCAATCGTTTCAGGATATTAGCTCCAACTTTCTACATTTTCTTTGCTTCTGCACTTCCCGTTATCACCTTTGGGGAGCAGTTGAGTAGGGATACAGGTATATCATCTGTTCCTTTTCGACTTTATCTTAAAAAGTTCAATTTTTTGGAAAGAGTTGAAGAGGTGCATGGTAACTATTGGTGATAAGAACTTAGTACCTAACGTTGTGTATCGATTTTTAGTTCTTGCTTTTTCTAGTTGTGGATTTTAATGGAGGAAGCCTGAAATTTATGTTTGTATGATGGTAGATGGAACCTTAAGCACTGTGGAAACTTTGGCTTCTACTGCTCTATGTGGTATCATTCAATCATTATTTGGTGGGCAGCCTTTGCTGGTCTTAGGAGTTGCTGAACCCACTGTCATAATGTATAATTATTTGTACACTTTCAGTAAGGGAAGACCAGAGTTGGGGACCAAACTGTTTCTAGCTTGGACTGGCTGGTATGGGAATTAATCTCATCTTTTTCCAGATTGCCAATGTTTCCTTTGTACTATGAGTACTATGTGCCAGAAAATATATGTTAATGACTTTTGTGTTTACTTATGTTACAGGGTTTGTGTCTGGACATCCCTGTTGCTCATTCTTCTGGCAATTTTCAATGCATGTAACATCATATCCAGATTTACTAGAATTGCAGGGGAACTTTTCGGCATGTTGATCTCTGTTCTTTTTATTCAAGAGGCCATCAAGGTTTGCATAGAGTTTCTTGACAAAACTAAACAAAACAAATTTCATCAGTTCTAGTGGATTGATTTTAACCCAAGTAAATGCTCATTGGCAGGGAGTAATTTCTGAATTCAGTATTCCAAAAGCTGAAAATCCAAAGCTGGAGGAGTTTCAATTCCAGTGGCTCTACACCAATGGGTTGCTTGCTGTCATTTTCTGCTTCGGTGTCATTTCCACTTCCCTTAAGAGCAGAAAAGCAAGATCATGGTGGTATGGCACAGGTAATGAATTGAATTATTTTTTATAGTGATTTTATAATTTTATGAAATATTATTCTATATCACCAGATCTGGTTTTGGCTATTCTTATTTGGCTCTTTTCGGGTGGCGGATACAGGGTGGCTCCGAAGTCTTATTGCAGATTATGGGGTTCCCCTAATGGTCTTGGTGTGGACAGCACTGTCTTATGTTGTACCTGGTAAAGTTCCACATGGAGTTCCTAGGAGGCTTGTTTGTCCATTTCCCTGGGACTCTGCATCACTCTACCATTGGACCGTCACCAAGGTATAATTAGTTCTCTGATGGGTAAATTGTACATTTAAGCCTTTTGCCTTTAACTGGGATCAATGGCTAATATAAAATAAAACATAATCTCTAAGCCTGTCCATTTCCCATATTTAAATTGCAGGATATGCCAAATGTCCCAGTCTTGTACATCTTTGCTGCCTTCATACCAGCTGTGATGATAGCAGGCCTGTACTTCTTTGACCACAGTGTAGCTTCTCAGCTGGCACAACAGAAGGAGTTTAATCTTCAAAAACCACCTGCTTACCACTACGATATGCTACTGCTGGGAATAATGGTATGTTTTCTGACTTTAATCTTTTTCTTCTATCTCTTGTTTTGTACTATATGTTTCTATCTAACTATGCCGCTATATTTTCATTGCTACAGACATTGATTTGTGGGTTGCTTGGGCTTCCTCCTTCAAATGGTGTTCTTCCACAGTCCCCCATGCACACTAAGAGCCTTGCTGTTCTAAGGAAGCAGGTAAGCTTAGGGTATCATATAGGATTTCTCTTGATTCGTAGGGTTATTGTCATTTGTTTACACAATAGGACCAATCTGCAGGTGATTCGAAAGAAGATGATAAAGAGTGCCCAGGAATGCATTAAACTAAAGGCAACCAACTCTGAGATGTTTGGAAGGATGGAAGCTGTGTTCATAGAAATGGACGGTGGCTCTCCTCCAAATGTAAGTGCTCAAGGCAGATATATATATATATATATATATCTCACTAATCTTCCATCATTTGTGCTAGTGCATTGTCTAATCAGAGTTTAGTTTTGTCTTGCAGCCTAAGGAGTTGCAGAACTTAAGGGAGGCTGTAATGAAATCTGATGATGGGGGAGAGTTGAAGGGAAAATTTGATCCAGAGAAACACATTGATGCTCATTTGCCTGTTCGGGTTAATGAGCAAAGAGTGAGTAACCTGTTGCAGTCACTCCTTGTGGGCGGCTCAGTATTTGCAATCTTTGTAATAAAAAAGATACCTACCTCAGTTCTCTGGGGATACTTTGCCTACATGGCGATCGATAGTCTGCACGGGAATCAGTTCTGGGAGAGGATCTTGCTGCTCTTCATCAGCCCTAGCCGGCGTTACAAGTAAGTCAGTTTAATGGTGGTTTAGAAGTTTTATTAAACTTTGAATCGTAATCTTCATTCATCTTTAATTTCTGTCATTTTTCTTGGACAGAGTCTTGGAGGGTTCTCATGCTTCATTTGTGGAGTTAGTACCATTCAAGTACATTGTTGCATTTGCGCTCTTCCAACTCGTATACTTTCTGATATGCTTTGGGGTGACATGGATACCTATAGCTGGAATATTGTTCCCACTGCCATTCTTCGTTCTCATAAGCATAAGGGAACATGTGCTACCCAAGTTCTTTCATCCTGCCCATCTACAAGAACTAGATTCTTGTGAGTGGGAGGAAGTTCCCGGTGCTCCACAAGTATGTCTCATTTCCTTTCATTGCTAATTAATTTGCAGAATGAATGTTTTGTTTTGGTTATTTTGATAAATGTATTTGAAGGATTTTAATTCATGGCCTATTGGACACTGTGTGAGCAGGAAAAAGTACCACCTGAACCTGGTAACGACGAGGGCACAGACTATGATGGTGAGATATTAGATGAGATGACAACAAGCAGAGGTGAACTAAAGCTTAGAACCAGCTTCAGTAGTGAAGACAGGCTCTCTCATGTAAGACTGTTAAAGAATGACCTTAATGCTTCTTTCCATATAATGACTCCTTAAAGTCAACTCTGTTTGTATATGCCAATATCCTGTATTATTAAACTTACCTCTCCAGAGATGAATAAAAAATTTGATTACAACTTATCAATCGGTTCAACGCCATATTTACATGAAATTTTGTGCAGGTGCACCCAGAAGATGGCCAAATATGATGAGACAGTGGATGCTAATCAAATTATAGATTGATTGAGATCGAAGCTTGTGCTTTTCATGATGAGACAAATGATGGTTAAGCTCCTCAGCAGAGGATTGTTGAAGGTCAAGGATGCCTAGCTTGAAAAAGATAAGTTATGGATAGAGCAAAGCACATACAGAAAGTTTTTTTTTTTTTTAAGGCAAAATTAAGGGACAAGGAGTAGAGAAGAGGGGATAACAAAGGGTGTAAATTTTTTTTTCTTCTTTTTTATGGAAGCCAAAGGGTGTACTAAAATTTTCACTTCTATTGGTTTTCCATTTTACAAATCTTAGTAGTTAAACCACAATTCCAGATTAGGTTCTTATCATTTACTATGGTTTTCTTCTTTTTCTTTTTGGCATTCCCTTAGCTTTTGCAGTGTGTTCGAGTTAAACTGAACCTGGTTAGAAGCTCGATACTTTATGGATTTACGGTTTACCTGATACGCGGTTTGGACCCCCAAAAAAAAAAAAAAAAAAAAACCTGATACAAGGTTTGATTTGTATGAACACTAAATTAGGATTTTCTAAGGAATCCTTTACATTTGCATGTCTTTGATTTGAAAGTTAAGAGGTTTTTTTGTCTTTTTTCCAAAAGTGAAAGTTTTTTTATGGCTAAAACCTAAATTTACTAATTATATATCAACTTTTGTTACAAAATTATAACAGAAATGTGCCTACCTAAGAAACGACATCCAGAAAAAAATTATGAATATTACTCTAGGAGATGACAGTTATAAGCATGTCATCTGCTAAAACCTCCATCCCATTTCTGGCCTTTTGCATCATCAAATCCCAGCATCACCAACAACAAGAAGATGGTCACCATCTCTAACAAGCTGTATATCTTCAATTTCAGCTCCTTCTTTGGTTAAAATTTTGGTGGGACTAAAATGAAATTTTTTGGCACCAATGTCAAGTAGTTCTTGAAGGGACTCTGGCAGAAGCACAAGCTTTGCAGCAGTTTCACCTTTTTCCGGGCAGCTAAGAATCACTCTGGCCGGATAGCTTATCTTACTTAGGGTACTGGGAAAAATGCCTGAAGATGTAGCAAAGTCTTTCTCTCTCTCACCTGCATGTTTTGAAATTAACCTTGTCAAAACTTGGACACAATGAAATCAAAGTTCTTAATTGCTTTTCCTTTGTACCATTAACTCTCAGTCTCAAAATTTCATCACCAAGTGTTCCAAAAGTTCAAGGGTCAGTAAAAGGCTGCTACTTCTAGTAGGTCGAGTACTAATGCACTCATGCATTCACGTACATGGTGAGAGAGTTTGCAAAGAGAAGAAAAATGGAATTTATAACTTCATCCTCCAAAGAAATTACAGAGAAAAGTGAGATATATGTGTACCTGTATTGGCAGCTGACATGATCCCAAAAAGCGAATTACGGAAGTTTTTAGCTCTTCTCCAAGTGTTTTCCGCTGATGATATTTCAGAGCTGGATGGCCTACTATCCCGGGCATAGGGTGGTAAGGCGGGCTCACTCCGGAACTTCCCATGGTGTGGTAGCACAGGATCTTTTGCCATTGAAACAATAGTTGGTTTCTTAATCTCTGATTTCTTCTGAAACAATTCTATTATTTCTTCATGTCCCTGATGCTCTGCCAAACCCCTAGGATTCCATCCGTAGCTATCCGGCTTGTCAGCATCTGCTCCTTTTTCTAAGAGGAACTTAACTATCTCAACATTTCCTTCACATACTGCTGTGTGAAGTGCTGTAGTCCCATTGCTCTTGGGCAGCGTTACATCACCTCCATGTTTGGCTATGTCTTTAAGAAGCTGTAAGTTGTTTTGTTCAACAGCAGCACAAGCAAAACTACCCACATTGCCAGAAGTTATATCTGCTCCATTGTCTAAAAGAAGTTTGATCAAAGATTCATGTTTCCCTGATATTGCTTCCCACAGAGGAACATTTCCTTCCGAATCTGCATGCAAAGTAATGAACACTTAAATCCAGGCTAAAATTGTTGCATGGCAGATTGTCAGCCATCAGAAAATTTCCTTACCTTGAGTGTTAGGATCTGCTCCAAATTCTAAAAGTAAGAGTGCGCAGTGCTCGCTTCCATTTGATGCTGCAATATGCTGTTGAAAGACAAAAGAAAAGGCATACAGAATAAGCCCCAAGTCTCACATGCAAAGGCCATATGGGACGAGTGTACGTGTGCAGATATAAAGATAGGATATGAGCACCATAGCTGTTCTTCCATTATCATCCATCTCATTTGGATCTGAACCCCGCCTGAGCAAATGGTGCAGCAACAAATCATCACCCCTCTTTGCAGCAAAGCATAAACTAAGAGGCAAATCCATTCTACCCCGAGCCAGCATGTGCTCTATGTCCGCCAAGATTCCTTGCATCAAGGGATCCTCTATTTCTTTCAAATACTGTATCAACAACATGCATAAGAGACAGCAAACAACCAAAAGATTTTCTTCCTGATAATAAAGAATAACAAACAATGATCAATGTAAGAAATTTACATACCTGAAGAAAATTGTTCATGATAATTGTTCCATCTCCAACATTTGCCTGAACAATATTTAAGAAAGCTGTGCGGTTCAAACGCAGAAGCTGACAGAGTCCTTTCGTACGAACTGTGACCATTTGAGGCCTGTAGCAAATCACGCCAATCTCACCAACAACGTCTCCTGTCTTTGCTTCACGAACAACCTGCAGTCATTGCACAACAAGTTCATCACTAGTAAGAAAACACCAATGTTAAGTTTTGCAAGACACCTGAACAAAGATTTATATTATTAAACTTGCCGGTTCTGCTCCATTCCTTTGCAAAATTAGTTCCTGTTAGCAAGTAACAAGAATCAGAAGATATTTTGACTGAATAAAAAGACAAAATGAAAGAAAAGGAAAAAGGTGGCCTGTGATTCAAGTGCCAAAGAGTGTGAATAGCTTAGTTTCTTATTCTTACCACAGCGCCAGTGACTACTATATACAAGTCAGTGGGTGCTTCATTCTGCAAAATTACATCTTCTTTTGGAGGAAAATACTCAGCCTTCATCTCGGAGACCTTAACCAAAGACATGGAAGTAAAACGAAGTGTATTACGTACATGTAAGATTACAGGAAACACAGGAAAAAAGCTTTATGATGTATCCAAGCACCACCAACAAATATGAATTACTGAAAGCTTAAGAAGTACCAGTTGGAAAAGCAAGTCTCTTGATACCCCCTGGAACAAGTAGACACTGTCAACAAGTGGATAGAAGAGATAGTGTGAAATACTTGATCTAATGGCTTTAGGGAGTGCATCAAGAGTCTCTTGCTGCTGCAGCCCTTCTGAATTAGTTCTGTACTTCAAACACAAATGAGCAAGCATCTGCTCATGCAGGCGATCAGGTATTTGGTTTCGTTGCGCAAAACTTGTGGCAGCTTGAATAGTATCTCTCTGGGTCCAGACAAGCAAGTCCAAGATAATGGGAAATGAAAAGGGATGTATGTTAGCCAGAACTTGAAAAGTGCTATACTTGTGAATCTGTCAGGACAATGTAGTTTATTTCTATATTTCCTAAGTAACAATTTACGAACTTTAGTAGTCAAAAGTATAATGTTAGTGCAAATACAAAAACTTTTTCATTTTGGTTCAACCAAACCATGTCCTGGTAGGGCATAGCTTCTTTCCTATAGCTCATGCAGAAGAAATTGAACTCTGACAAGTATTTTGTTATGAAACACGATAAATAGCTTTTGTACATAAAACAGAATAACTTCAGATGATTAAGAATTCACTTGTCCAATTTTGAGCCGTCAAGAAACCCACAGTCTACTGGATAACAGAAGAGTGTCAAACCAAACAAAGGTAAGAAAGAATGACGTACAAATTGTCTAGTTCGAGCAGTCCCATGGACAATCAAGTTAGTCATGTTTCCAATCAAGTAAGCTTGCAGCCCAAGATTAAAGAGCATATAGAAGATATCAAATATCATCTCCTGTGAATTTACAGGATGCAAATCACCATAGCCAGTAGTTGTAAGGGTGATTATGGACCAGTACATTGAGGTCACATACCGATCCCACAAACTGATATCATGAAAGTTATCTGTGATAAGCCCAAGCCATGTCCTTCTTGGGTTACGATTATGTGCAGCAAGAAAATAGAAAAAGCAACCGGCACAATGAACTGTAAGGAGAGTAACCTACAAGCACAACAAAAGCCCGATGATCATGAGAAACATCAGTAATAGAAAATCACACCTGTATTTCATAAAAATGACTAGATATTAGTCAAAAGACACTCACGAAGATAAGCTTTAAGTATCGAACCCAGAAGTAGCTATAGTTCCTGTCTTTTTCCAATCTAGAGTCCCAAGAAAAAAGCAAAAGAATGTGAGATCAGTTCCTGCAACATGCATAGATGAAGACGCTATAAACCAGCATTTCCATAAGTAGTACCTGGCAAACATTGCACTGACTCTTCGGAGACGCCATAGACGAAGGATATTGAAGTATCCATAGGTCTCAAGAGGAGGAGGCAAAACACTCTGAGCAAGTTCTGAAGGGATTGTGGAGATGATGTCAAAAGCCAACCAGGTTTTGGCATATCTCAGAGCAATTAGCTTGGGATTGTCAATGAGGAGATAAGAAGTCTTATCAAGGTAGGTCACAAAGAATGTCAAAATAATGTCAATGGCAAAAAATCCATTTACAACATTATCAGTAATGGCCAGGGGTCCTTTTGCTTTGTCCAGAAATCCAAATTCAAAAGGGCACACCCAGGCCGTGTAGAAAACCAGGCATACCAGAAATGACTGCCAAAGTCTGCAAAATTAAGACCCAAAATGTAAACTTTATTAATGCAAGAATTTCAAAAACAAAATGTCACACTCAAAATGATACATAAAATCCATCAAGACACAGCATAAAAACCCCATGGACGATTGAAAACATCATAAAAGAATAACCAAACTGGGCCATAAAACTTCTAGTTTTTTCGTGATCTCATGCATTGTACAAATCAAATCAAATCAACCCATTTGAACACAGACATTGACATGCAAAACCAACAAGAAAATTTTGAAACTTGAATTGAGAGAGAGAGAGAGAGAGAGAGTCTCTCACTTGTAATGAGAATGAAAGGGAGTGATAATGAAACGACGTAGCTTATGTCTGGGACGGTTTCTAGAAGTGGCACCAAGAGAAGGCAAAATGCCATCGTTAATGCTATACTGGCTGGTCTGGCTTCCTTCATCCCTTGACATTTGCTCTGTCGTCTCTTTCTCTCTAATGCCATGCCCACACATGGCCATTGATATCGACATTGGCATCAAACCCTTCATCTTTACAACACCTTCACTGTGATCACAAGTCATCA